CCCCCCCGATCACCACCTATGATAGAATTTATAGTTTTCATTTGCGGCGCGCACGGCTCTGATTGGGCGGTTACCGGCGGCGGACGTAATAATAATAATTAATATAAGCATTGACATAACCAAAAGTACCGGCCACGGTGATAAATAAAATATATATACTAAAGAAACATTACCAAAGGACCACTTTAGTTGCCCAAAATGCGCTCCAGCAAAAACGGGGCTTACTCGCTGTCCATCTTGCTTCGGTAAGCGGGTAAAAAAATGAATTGATCGGCCGTCGCTCTGTCTGTCTGTCGATCTCAAACCGTTTCTCTGCCAAGGACCGCGACGGCGGGTGATGGAAGTAGACTCTACGTGCACGAGGTTCATTTTTATCTACTTATTGGCCGATGCTCTTTGGGCATTAGATAAAGGTATGGTGCCCGAGAATACCTTTATCTTTACTACGTGTACAAGGAGGGGACTGGGGAGGGCGTGTGTATATTTGACGGAGAACTGAGGCCCGCGGGATAAGTTGCCTTATCGCACGTTGCGCTTTCAATGTGCCTGCTTAATATATATATATATATATATATCTGTGTGTGTGCATTTATTTCAACAATTTAACAAAAGTTTGATTAAAATAATTTCAGAATTAATTAGTATTTTTTTTTTGTTTTTAAAGATCATTTCAAACACTTCTAAAATGTATTTGAATATTTACTCAAATATTATATGATAATAGATAATATATGTGTGACATTTAAATACTTTATTTTAAAACTATTTCTTACAACACAAACTATATTATATTTACACACCCAGCTCTATAAAACCGGTCATGTATTTTTGAATTCCGACGATTCATCAATGGTCGGTTTCTCATTGTAACACACTCCACGAAAAAATGTACGATGAAAAAAACTAGTCACCGTTACGATCGAAACCCAATGTCGAATTCCAATTTCTAAACACCGTAGATACATACCCTCAGACATACATACACACATGTTTTAGAAACAAGAAAACACCACCTGCCATATTTCCAGTGCAACGGGTAGGTATAATATTATCGATGGTATAAAAACCTACTTATTCTATTCAATTTTTAAATTTTACTCAATTTTTCTATTAAGTTGTTATTTATAAAATGTATCCTAAACTCTATAACCTAAAAATGTATTAATTGAATCGTAGTCGTATACTTATATATATATAGTAGTCTGTATCCAAATTTGTACAACTATCTATTATAAACAGTGTTTGCTTTTTTAACAAATAAATATAGCTCCAATCGAATGTATCACTAAAACTAGCTTCATAAAATGATAGAACACGGAAGATGCAAAAGAAAATCCAGACAGTAAAAAAGAAAAAAAAAACAAAAAAATCTCTGACCAGTGAAATAAATAAATAAGAATTAAAAAAAAAATATATGAATGGCCGGGAATTTGTATGTGTGTGTGGAGGGGGGGAGTGCAGTTAAACCAATAAGATTGGCGTTCGTCCGATGGTCTACGAGGTCTACCGATGGCTGTAGTTCCACGCCACACCACTACTACAGCACAAAAGTCAGGTAAAATCTCTAGAATTACTACGACGCATAAAAAGGTACAAAGAACACGTCTCTCCATCATGTTATAATAAACGTGATTGATTAAATTAACTCGAGAATTAGACACGGAATTTCAATGCATAACGACACAATCAATACAAGTTAAATTGGATTATATGTGACAAAAGGATAAGGAATAGTTTATCATTCAAAATAAAACAAGGTATCAGTGAGTAAGTACCAAATTATAATTTACAAACAAATACTGAAATAAGTATAGATTCCTACAAAAGTCATAACGTCACTTGTCACTCGTCGGGTTAAAAAAACTGCACACATAACATTAGTGTTTTAACTTTTTTTCTCCTCCCTAATATTTTTACTGAAACTCGATCGTGTGTAATATGTATATTTTAGAATCGGTGATAAATCGTGAGTTATCTAAATAATTAATTTTTGTGTGTAATCACAGCTATTAAACAACTGCACACACACGTGCTCACGATAAAACACATAACAAATCGTAACTTCATAATAAATTATATTTCTATGCTCTGGATCATTCAGTTTGCATCTAAAATCAGTCGATGTTCATTATACATGTCTAATGCATGGAGTATGAACAGAATTTACTGATTATTAATTCTTAACAAATTATCCCAACTAATAATTTGGTGATTCATTTGTATAAATAACCGTTCAAATGTATTTTAATGCAATCAATATTACATCTCTAACCATTGTTAAATAAATACAGTTACCGTTATCTATAGTTTATAATATTTATACATTTTGTAATATGATTACAGTTTATAAAAATTATCAGAATGAGTACTTTAATTATGATAATACGATTGTTGATTTGTTCGGTGATATTCGTACCACCATATTGCAGAGGGTTCAAAGATGGCCATATTCTTGATTTTTATGAGCAAGGTATATATTAAAATACCTTAAGCTTTTGTATTGAGATTTTTATAATAAATTGATTGCAATGATTAAATGGTATGTATATTGGATAGGTTTGGTAATTAATTCAAAAAATTGGTACCTAAAACTAAATGTTTCCGAAGTAAACGAAGAAATTCAAAAAGTTACTGAAAGAATTGAAAACAGGTATCGTTTAGAGGATATCATATCGAATATTAGTCATATTGAAATTCGAAGTCCAGCTCATGGACAACTAATTGATTCTATGCCTTCCAAAGACGGAAATTCAGCATCTCGATTTGCTGAGATTATAGTAGATGTTACACGCAGTTTGAAGAATACATATTGTCTAAAGTATGTACGCATAAATTAAATATCTCAATGAAGTAAAAATAAATATAAATGTTGTATGATAATAATATGCATAAATTAAACTATAATTTCAGGTACGGGTTAAGTGATATACAATGTGCCAAAGATTTAACGAAAGTGAATCTGACTGGGACAACTTTGGGTGAGATGTGTATGTCCGAGTATTATAACAATATTCCGTGCAAGGGCCAGAACTTTGATTATCACAGTGCTGATGGATCTTGCAACAACCTGAAACGTAAAAATTTGGGAAAAGCAAACACGCCTTATAAACGTTTGCTGTTTCCAGTTTACACGGATGGTAATATTTCTTAATTTTTTTTATGATACAAATTGCCCGTTTGAATTTTTTTACTAAAAACATTACAATATCCATAGTAATTTGGCACGTCATTTCTGCTAAATATGTATTATAATTCATAATCAGTGTTGAGCTCAGATAACAAAAAAAAAATCTAGGTATAATACTTATAATTTAATACCAAATTATACATGGATACCGATGTTTTTGATCTAGATATTAAGATATATATACGTTACTATCTAGATAATAAAATAAATAAATTCAAATGTCTGCACCTCAATAATACATAAAATGCTTAATGTTTAAAATTTAACTATTAAATATTTTAACATAATAAAAACAATTATCCTACTTTATTAATTAATTTTTGAAATAACATAATTATATTTACATGTAAATGCAATTCAGTGTACCTACTGGATAGTCGACAAAACTAATTAATTTTAAAACATAAATAATAATTATCCACTGTAAATAATACTATAGAAATTTTAATCTTAATTTATGTGTATGGTTTAATACTGGTGAGAAGTTTCGGAAATATTAATATTGTTTGTAATTAATATTTATTTTCTAAAATAATATCAGTTGGATTGCTAGAGTTATCAACAACTTAATGACTTTAACACTTCTACTGATAGTGCTAACTGTAAATACAGACTAATAATTGTTAGTTATAATACTGTGTCGGTCAAAACTGTAGTTCTGTGTGAGCATGTTACGTTCTTATAAGCATAGTTTTATTAATTTTAAATATTTGATGACAATAAAAAAAAACATTCACGGATATGCTTTAAGAATATTTATTTATAACTAAATTGATCTAGGTACTGTATTTTTTCATCTAATATAAAATTTAGATAAATGAAACAAAATTTATCTAGATAAAATAAAATATAATAAGTTATTATCTCAATGCACACAACACTGATTAAAATTTACATTCATGTTTATCTAATGCTGTGATTTTATTAATCGATCACACACAGGTGTTTCCGAAATGCCAAATATTTACGAACAAAGGCTGCCCAATCCTAGATTGCTGAGCACGAACCTTGTGAAATACGGGAACTCGACAGACCCTATAAAATCGATGATGATGCCGTACTGGGCGATTTTCATAGGCCACGATCTATCACACACGGCATTTTCCACCATGGGTAAACACATAAACACATGACCGTTCATAAATTGAATGATCTTAATTAATGCAAGCGATGTATGTTGTACTCAAAGGGAAAGAGAACAAATTTGTGAACTGTTGTCATAAAGACAAAAGTATTCAATATACTATGAACAAAAACGTAAGGTCCTGCAAGCCAATACCGATACCGTATGATGACAAATTTTTTAAGCCGGAACCTCATGATTGTATGAACTACGTGCGTTCGCGGCCAGCTGTGCGTTCTGATTGTACATTTGGACCCATGGAACAAGTAACAGTCACATTAAATTATTACATATTGATAAACTCATATTATATTTTGACTATAGTAAAAATTATAACACTTAACGAAGCCCGCATTTTGGGGGGGAAGAGCTCGCATGATGGCTTTCCCAGATAATAAGATTATAACATAATAACATTATTATATAATTACACTTGTATTTACTAATACTTTTTTTATCATTACAATTTAATACACCACCATTAAAATATTGTTTAAATTATTATTTTTGGCCTAGGTTTTATTTGTATTATGTTACATATCATATAATAACATAAACATAAAGTTTTTATTTAAATTTAAAAAAACACTATTCTAATATAATTTATACATGATTTCATCGCTAAAAACAGTTTTTAAAATGTTTTTGGATACTACTTTTTTCATTTTCAGATTAGCTGTAGGACAACTTATAGAGCAACATTATAAATTATTAAATTATGAACATTTTTAACATTAGTTTATGATATATAATCATATATTATGAATAGTATCTGTTCATATAATGTACTTATAATGATGTACTAAAACTAAACGATATCATTTTAAAAACAATTTACTTTCCATTGATATTATAATTATGTAGATATTCAATAAGAGATTAAAATAACAGGTATCTCTATAATACAATAAAGAGATAGATATACAAAAAATAAGTAATAAATGTTCCTAAAAACTACACGAAAAATGTTAATATTTGTCTGTGTTAAATACCAACCTTGTTGGTAATAAAAAAAACCGAACCATAAAAATCAGCGTACCTACACGGGGTGTGATGGAAATATTTCCTACTAACAATTCGGAGTTTAGACCTGACGTTGCATATTCACAAAAGCCACAGACACCTACAGAATAATTAAAAACCTGTAGCCACTGTCTAAGACGTACCTATTTGCAGATGAACCAAGCGACCCATTTTTTGGACGCATCGATGGTATACGGTACGACGGAATCGCGGACTTTGTCGTTGAGGGATATGTCGTCGGGCCGGTTTATAGTAAAAGAACCAGGGATGCCTGTTACCAGGCACTTACCGTATGAATACCATGACGAGTACGCGTATCAGAACGGCACCGGCACGTGCTATTTGGCTGGAGACATCCGAGCAAATTCGTATCCACCGCTGATGGCCTTGCACACGCTGTGGACGCTTCAGCACAACAAGTTTGTCGATGAACTGCGCAATGAAAAACCCGACTGGACCGACGAACAACTTTTCCGCGAGGGCAGGAAAATCGTGACGGCGTGCATACAGCACATCACGTACAACGAATGGCTGCCGGCGCTGCTCGGCGTTAACTACACCGAGGAGAACGGGTTGGGACTGGAACAGAGAACCGTTTACGACGAAACTGCCGACCCGACGGTCAGCAACAGCTTCGCGACCGCGATATTGCCGTTCGCCAATTCCATGATCCGCGAAGAAATTAAGTTCGTTCTCATCACACATAATATTCTTATAATTATTGTTACAACTGTTATGTATGCGAGTAGGTCATTTCACGGTGACGGTTTTTTCAATCCGGGTGACCGATCGTCGTTATTCAAAAAAAAATTTCTCATTTCGAATAAGTAAGATTATTGATTAATGTGTACACGTGCAACACTTATTTCATATCAATTTACTTGTTTAAGTTTATTGATTTTTTAACGGTGACATCTCCGTTTTTATAGTTTTTTTTTTAAATGAAAGGTATACAAGACAGTAGCATATTGAACGAATGTGTTTAGATTTTTAGGTGCCTACCAACAAGCATTTAATTTTAGTTTAGTTACAAATTTATAAATGAAGAAATGTCTTATCTTCAACTAATTAAACCTGTATTGTTACATTACTCGATACTTCATGAATATAATAGATCAGAATTTGAGTAACGACATTCTATTTGGAATTAATTTATGATGATAGGTACATAATTCATATATAATATATATATATGAGCATGTTTACGTTTGAAAAAAAGTAAAATAATACTTGATGTGTACTTGTTATACTTACAATGAAACTTATTTGTGTGCATGATTTTGTTTAGTAAAGACGACGAATCCAATGAAGATTTCAAAATGTTGTCGCTAAAGAAATATTACAACCAACCGCTAAAAATGCATTTAGAGATGGGTTATCTTTTGACGGGAATAACTAGGCAGAATACACAAAAAGTCGATATGTTTTACGCAGAAACGGTAAGTTTATAAAAAATAATCAATATATATTATAAACTTTGTCTTTTTATAACATATTTACAATCGCATGTGTATGTTATTTTCTTTTTTTTAAATATTTTATATAGATTACAAATTACCTATATAGTATTAGTAAAAATACTTCATTTGGAATGGACATTCTCAGCTTGGATATACAACGAAGCCGCGATCACGGTATTCCAAGCTACACTCAATTTAGAAAATATTGTGGACTAAAAGGCATAGAAAATGTGCAAGATTTGTCTGAGATCATGAAGGAAGGTGTAAGTTCGAATACAAAATTAAATTGAAATACTAAATAATGATCTACCTACTGTACTGATTAGTGATTACTTTCCGTTTGCATGTTTTATTTAGTCAGCTGATATATTATTGAAACAATACAAAACTTGGAACGATATAGATTTATTGGTTGGTGTATTGTTGGAAAAACACGCTGATGACGCAATGGTTGGCCCTACGATGAGGTGTATCATCAAAGAACAGTTTGTAAGAACTAGAATTGCAGATAGACACTTTTATGACTTACCAGGAGTATTCTCTGAATGTTAGTATAACTTTATTATTTTCAATGAATGAACATAGTTTTAATTCACCAATTTTTAATTTAAGATCAATTGGATCTAATCAAACAATTGACGCTTGCCAGAGTTATATGTGATGTCAACTATTATGGAGAGATGCAACGAAATGCATTTTTGAAACCGTCTGCAAATGAACCAATTCTTGATTGTCTTAATCTATCTATTCCTAAAATGAGCTTGAGTAATTGGTTCGATACATTTCAGTATTCGGATGACATATCTCAGTCTTATTAACAAAAAAATAATTTTAATTGATAAACATAATACTATTAAATGATACAAATGTATAGTTCATATTATGTTTATATACTTACATCTAAAAAGTAGAAATATATTATTAATATTTTTTCCTTAATTGGAATGTTTGTAAGAACATTTTTTTTTTGATAAATTAATTCTAAAACTGAATTATATGTATACATTTTTATTTTGAAAATGTTATTTGTAATATCAATGTGATATAAATACGTTTTTTAATCATTTTTAACCTTTTTGCACGGACAAGATAATTTTTTGTGGGTTTATTAGGTAATAAGGAAACCGGTATTACCCATTGACTGTAGTCACCCTGAGTTACCTCCTTATACATAAAATAATAACAACAATAGTAATAATAATTCATTAAAATATTACACAATACAAATTCTATTATTGTTAAAAGATCTTTGCAAGTTATCAAAACATTTTTTGACAAGTATAAATGTATAGTACAGTATTTATAAGTATGGCCGAATCTATGTTATCAAACTTCTATAAACATACTATAATCGATTCTTTTATCGCTCATCATCCTGTATGAAACTTTTTGACCGACGACAATGATACACACTAGAGTAGGTACATAATGAGTAATGACTCATTCTAGTGTTTATAAATGCTATTCAAACATATTTTTAACGAATAATTGATTTAAGCTAAGGATTGATCAATAGTCCGTAATCTTGTATAGAAAATTTTAATAGTATGTATGTCCTCTAAATAAATTTAAAATCATACATATTACTAAAGTAAAGTATAATTAGTTCTAAAATGCTAAATTTTTAAAAATAACATAATTTAATAATTTGAATTCCTTATTATTATTTCAAATAATATAAATTAAAATTAGTATGGCTTTTATGATATGTAAAAATATATCAATTGACAATTTCTTTAATACTTAGTTAAATATTATACCAGTATAATAATACATAAATAATAGTTACATTTAAAAATATATTTATACACATATAGCCATATAGGTAGGTATACTTCTTTTTCATATAAATTACTTTTAAATTACAAGAAATAGGTAGGAATGTACTATTTAAGTGTTATATTTGTTCCCATTTCATAATTTTAAAATGAACACTTATAAAAATTCAAAGAATATATAAATTGTGTGTTATAAATTAATAATTATTCGAATTATTAAATGTTTTTCCTTTCACTTTTTCACAGAGATATTTTCGTTTCAAACATTATCAACAGTAGTATACTAGTATATGCATTGCACTTATTATTTTTAATATATTTAAATACTTTTTTATATATTTTGTTGCAATTAATATAAACCTAATGAACAATTTTTGTTATTGTTATCGTTTATATATGGGTAGAGAATAGTATACGAATTCTAAAAAGTTAAGACAAAGATTCAGATTTTCGAAGTCCGGAAATAGATCTGTATTAGACGCGACGCTCACTGATGTGATGTTAGGAAATAAAGTGATTGGAATAATATATATTCAACAACTCTATAGGACTAACAATATTTGTGAAAACTGGTACGATAGGTTTTCATATTTCGACTCAAATAAGGATCACATTATTTGGAAATTACTAGTAGATATGTGTCAAGGGGTTGGAACGGAAAGCGCAAGAATAGCATTGGCCGAAGCAGGTGAGAATAGTCTGAAGAATCAAAATCTGTTACAAAAATGTAAATTTATTGGAGCATGTGTGGCAACACTTTGCTCTAGGTAAATAAATCAGATGTTTGTATTAACATCATAATTCAAAAGATACAATCTAATGATAAGTTAATAACCAACATCTATTGAATTTTATTAGTAATAACTAGTCGTAGGCATTTTGTAATGTTTTTTATTCAAATATTTTTTTGAATTATTTATATAAATATACAAAATGCTGTTCCCAGAATAGTTGTATTAGTTTTAATTATTTTATGACAATTTTATGTTATTTACGAATAATATATATTAATCATAATAAGTTAATTTATGACCAACATGAGAATGTGATATAGGTAATATATAGGTACATCCAACGCAACAAAACATTTGAGTTTTAAATTTTTTTATCTACTTCTTTAAAAAATATTAAATGTAATACAAACCTATATTTAATGAAGAAAAGGTGCTGATATTGAAAATATTATTTAGTTACTATCTACATCAATGTCCTCACTAGGATTTTATAAAGGGGGCAAATGTAATTTTTGAAAATTACTTGCGGGCTGCATGCATTTTTAAATGATAATACCTAATTAAAAATATAAAAATTACATGTATATACTATATATATATATTGTTAGGAAAAGGTTTTGTTGAAAAAATGCATTAATGACACAAATGTTTTTACTTATAATTATAATCGTAGATTCAATTCATAGTTTATTTTATAAATTCATATTATTAGCATAGATACTATATCAAACGTTTTCATTTCATTCTCTGTTTATAGAATTTTGGCATTTAGAATGTACAATTTAACTTTAGTGCGATCTGCACTACATTTGTTATGGAGCCGCGTAGCGGAAATCACTGATCTACATGGTCTATACTCTATAATAAAGTACACATAATGATAATTAATATAAATTATAATAACCATATAATAATTTCAATGCGTGCCTAAACCCCCGTGCACCCATCATATACATGACGCCTATGAATTTATAAGTGTTGAATATTAATAAATACTTAATACACAAATATCGACATGGAAATTGAGTATGAGCTACATGCGTTTTTGTGTATAAATTCCCATCAGATGACTCACATAATATTATAGAACATTAACGGTCTTACTGTATATCGTATAGGACATCGCATTCATTGCATATTTTATACAAAAACGGAATTTTATCGTTTACAATTCCTATTCTAATTACCATCGTGGCGTCGTGGCGTTGGGTTAGTCACTCATGAGTATACACATTAAACAAGTTAATGAAGTATCAAATATACGCTTATTTTGTAAAATATCCTATATGCCTATATCCAATATCCATTAAAACCGATCTTCATTCAGGTTAATGTTCAGACTTCAGACATAAATATATATTGTAGATATTTGTAAATTTTACTAACATTGATTATTGATTAATTCCCATTACACAAAACTTCAACGAAAACACAGTCGCCACGATGACAATGTAATCTTGACAGTTGTTGGTAATTATAATATAATATAATGTTCCATTGGCAATGAAATAATGTGTATGTCTGCTGCACTCAACTTTCTGGTTCTAAGCTACTGGCACTGCCACTAAAACTGACACGTTAAGGATACCTTCACAGTTCTAACTGTGGGAAAAAAAGTTTACTGGAGAGCCACTTTCATTTTTTATGAGCATTTAAAGATTAAATATTTCCATATGCTATTATATATATTATTGGAATAAAAATGTTGGATAATTCATACTCTGCCACTTCTTATGTTTATTAAATTCATAAACAATAAAAAAAAATTGCTGATATAACACCAATACACACCATTTTAATTCCGTGTAAGACAATTTAAGTTTGAAAGAGTCATGTAGTGACATTTCATTTAGTACTTATAAATTATAATGATTAAACCATTAAAAAACGTGATAATACGAGTAATATGTATAGAAACTTAGTAAAATAGGTACAAGGTACCATTTTGTAATGCAACAAATACCTATAACGACAAATAAGGTTATTTATAAAGTTAAACACTTTCAATATAAGTGCTAATCAATACAAAAAAAAAATAATAACCACCATTAAGGTCCAAACACACTAGCCGTGGCAAAAATGAAGCTGGGTTTAAGAGGCGATATGTACCCCGGTAATATTTACCTCCCTTGGTAAATATATATTCTAGGTTAAAGTTACAGGCTGTAAATATCGTTGAATCCTAAAACCGCATACTTTCGGTAAAATATTTGTCAATTTATCCAAGTCTTTATAGTAGTCAACTGTATTTCTTAGAAATTTTATGAAAATATACTAAATTTATATTAATTGATTTCCGTTCATGAATTTTTATTTAGATGAGTGATGTTCAAAATACACATTGTACAAAATACTGTTAAATTATTTCAACATGACATTTAATACATTTTTTTGTTAAATATTAATTATTTAATGAATTATATAAATTTTTAAACTAAATGAATTTAATTAACATGCATTTTCGTTTACCTATTTTTGCATATTTTAATGAAAATCATTGCATAAATGCATGCATATTTCCTAAATTTTTAGTGCGTATAATTGAGCACTTATAGTTATTACTTATTATTATACGGTAGCCGGTAAGATGAATTAATATTCTTCATAATATTTATAAATCTAAATTATCAGTGATGCTAGAAAAATATTAAATATATAATTATGTAAAGTTAAGCTGTTTTGGAACCGAATTACAAAAAATGACATTTCTATACTTTTTAGATCTTTTTTAGTTACGGAAAAAACTGTTTAAGTATAGCATTATTTTAAATTTTCAATTCTTAGCTATAAAAATTGAAAATGTTATACATTTTTAATTACAAAATCATTTCCAATTTCCAATTTGATAACTTTAAATGCTTATAAAAAGCCCATGTATTTTTAATATTTTTCAACTGATATTGTAACAATAAATCAGAACCTATTCAATACCTTGTATTCAATTTTCACGCTTTTTAACCTAACAAATACAATTTGATTGACATTTAAAGAAAAAAATAAGAAAAAAAAGAAAAATTGAAAATGTACGTCAACAGCTTAAAACAAGTAAAAATGTCCAATAGCAATAACTTACGAAGTACCTTGTATTACATTTAAATTTACAAGTTTTTTGTCACAATGAAAAAATTGTTATTGGCATTAGTTCAAAAAGAACAAATAATATTCGAAAATTTCATATGCTTATTAATATTTCAACACGAATCAAAATTCAGTGAAAATTGTATGTATCTACGTCATTATTTTTTTGTTACATTAAAAACTGGTTTTGAGTAAAAATCCCCACTTTTTCTTAATTTTTTGTTTGTT